CACGAAGCCGCTGCACAGACGGGTGGCCAAGGCGGTGGTGCCAGAGGACAGTCTCGTGTGCCAGAGAGCGACACGAGCAGGGGGCCGACAGCTAACCTGACGCGGACGCAGATGCAGACGCAGCGACCTGAGGGGACTCAGTGGTCAGTGTGTACAGGTCCGACCCCCGGCTGCCGAGTGAAGGTAGCCAAGTGACGGCCTGTACGAGCACACGTGCAGTGTGTCACTCGCTCGTAGGCAGGGGTGAACTGGTGAACACCCCCGTCCTGGAGCGCACATCCTGCCACCAGGTTTGTAGAGAACGAGGGGAGGTGGAGACCTGACAGTGTGCCCGACGGGACTGCAGGACAGGGGAGGACAGTGGAGGAGGTCGCAATGACCGGACCCCCAGAGGGGTCAGCGAGGGAGACATCAACTGGCCGAGCAAGCGGCTCAAGGGCAGTGCGGTCACGAAAGAAGCAGCGAGAAGCACCTGAGTCCAGTGTGAAGGTGTGTAGTGCTGCAGTCGACTCAGTACCAGGGGGGGCAGACGCACAAGCACCTAGAGCAGCTGCCTCACCAGCACCTGGGGTAGCGGACACGCGAGTACCTGGAGCGGCAGACGCACTAGTCCTAATGCCCGGGTCGGGCGGCACACATAGGTACTTAGTACCCTCTCCACTAGTAGACATCACATACATAGCAGTGAGAATAGCATCAAAGTCTAGAGCATAGATATCAATCCCCTTCTTTAGGAGATCAACCCAGCGGGGCAGCTCAGTGGCCTGAGGGAACTGAACACGCCAAGCGTCGTTGAGACGAGCGAAGCAGCGCTGTGTGGCGTGCGGTCCCCCACACTTTTTACCAATGCGGTCACCTGTGTGAATGACGTACGTGCAGCTAAAGCCACCCCCCCCCCCCGTCCTGAGAGTACCACTCACGGACCTCCTGGGGCGACGGAGTGTGCTGCTGGCCCTGGCCACCGCCAGCGCCTCCACGACCACCACCGCCGCCGCCACCTCCTCGACCACCCCAACCCCTGCCACCGCCACGTCCATCGCCACCCCCACCACCGCCTCCGCCCCTGCCACCTCCCCCGCCGCTGCCGCCACCACCCTCACCGCTGCCACTAGCCCCTCCAGTCGCGCCACCACCCCCACCGCCGCCCCCGCCCCCACCACCGCCTCCCCCGCCGTCACCGCCACCGCCCTTGCCCCCTTTGCCCTTGCCGCTGCGGCGCCCGCTCGAAGCAGACGCAGTCCCGCCCTTCTCAGCACCAAGGAGGTCGACAGCAGCAGCAGAGGAGACAGAGGGAAGAAGGGGGGAAGGAGAACATCCCTCAAAGAACGGGGTACGGGGGTCGCCACGAGAGGCACCTACAGCAGCTATGCTAGCCTCAGCTGCAAGGAGTTCCTTCTCGAGGAGGGCAATGGTGAGCTCAGTGGGGCAGCGAGCTTGGAAGTGGTCCCTGACTGAGCGCAGAGTGTCAGGGAGGCGGGTGACTAGGTGGTAGAGAGTGAGCCAGAGCGGGGGTGGGTTCTTGGCAAGGAACTCATCAGGCATAGCGGCGCGGAAGCGAGCCTCACTAGTGTGGAGGTGCGTAATGAGGTCACCGACTGTGTGGAAAGAGGCTAAGTCGGGGAACAGGTAGGGAAGAGAGAGACGGCCTAGTGCGGCAGAGGCCGGTGAGGAGTAGCGGGCAACGACAGCAGTGTACAGTGCCTGTGCAATCTTGTGCTGTCAAAAGTGCTCGCGCTCATCTATCGGCAGGGAGTTGCAAATAGCAAAGCGAGCGTGGGCGTCACGAGTCTGCCACTGTGAGCGGGCAGTGCTGTCAGCAGTAGCAGCAGGGGCAGTGACATGGCCTAGGACGTTGTCGTACAGTGAGATGTCGTCCTTGGCAGTGAGCTGTAGATAGAGGTGCAGGTCATCTAGCCAGGTGTCAAACTTCACTGGACAGCCCTCAGCATCGAAAGCTAGCACAGGTGGGCTAGCCATAGGAGTAGTAGGAGCAGCAGTAGGAGTAGGAGGGTGAGACAGGTGGGGCGGCTCGGACTGTACGCGCGGCGCGGTTCAGTTCAGGTAGGGCGGCGCGGCTCGGGTAGGGCAGCGCGGTTCAGTTCGGGTCGCGCGGCTCGGCTCGGACTAGGCGGCTCGGTTCGGGTCGCGCGGCCCGGCTCGGACTAGGCGGCTCGGTTTGGGTCGCGCGGCTCGGCTCGGTCCTGGAGGGGCTGTGGCGGTGACGGGCCGTTCGGGGCCTCTAGGGGTGAGCGCGGGGCCGTTCGGGGCCTCTAGGTGCGAGCGCGGGGCCGTAAGGGGCCGCTAAGGGCGAGCGCGGGGCCGTTCGGGGCCTGTTGGGGCGAGCGCGAGGCCGTAAGGGGCCGCTAGGGGCGAGCGTGGGGGCCGTTCGGGGCCTTTAGGGGCGAGCGCGGGGCCGTTAGGGGTGATCGCGGGGTCGACGGGGTCGCTAAGGGGCGAGCGCGGGGCCGTAAGGGGCGAGCGCGTGGGCCGACGGGGCCTTAAAGGGCGGCACGCAAGTCTCTAAGGGGCGGGTCGCGGGTCGCGGGGCCTTAGGGGGCCGTGAAGAACGAGGCGCCCTAGGGCGCAGTTAGGTAGGTAGGTAGGTAGGCAGTGGTGGGCCCTAAAAAAATGGTCCTAGCGAAGGACCTGCTCTGATACCATGTTGAAATGAATGAACAGGAATGATTGAACTAATAGTGAAATCAGTATAAGTACCTAACCCTAGAATTGTGTACCCCCTATAGGCTAACCCACTGTAGCATAAACAAGCACAACATATATAAAGTTTGACATCACTCGCACGGTGCAGTCACTCGTCGTCTAGTCGATTCGTGGATTGTGTCGTCGCAACCAGTCCCGATCGAGTAAAATGTCGGTTCCGTCGAGGGTCGTCGCGAGCATTTCCTGACTAAACGTGAAGTTGCCCCCGCATCGATTCCGAACCCGGTCTACGCGTTCCCGTATTGCCAGTGGCGTGCCGTCGACCAGTCTTGCGTCGATCTCAGGTAAGCATTTGTCGAGTGGCAGTTTCAGGTTCCGTGCCGTGGCAGTGTTGATGAGGCTGTGTCTGGCTCCCCCGTCTACGAAGATTTTAACTTAGTCTATCCCAATTTTCCCACTAAGCAGTATGGGGTTGTCTACCGCGCTACCCTCCTTATTCAGCCGACTGTGGTCGATTGCGTGAACCGGCACAATCACTCGGTGAGGGTCGGTTGGGTCGGGCGAGCGGCGTGACCTGTCAGTAGAGGGCCAGTCTGCTACTGACTTCCTGCGTTTCTGTGCTGCTTGGTCTGTTTCTGCTGCTCAGCTTCCCCCTTTCCCTTAGCGTTTTCCGGGCATTCGCTCTTGCGGTGTCCCGGCCAATTGCACGCAAAGCAGCGCCCTTTGAACGGTGCGGCAGCGTCATTTGCGGCGACAGCACGTATCGTAGCGCCCTCGTTCGTCCCACGAGACCGATGTCCCCAATGGCTGCTTCCGTAGGACCCCGGTGTCGGTCGGCGGAAGAAGTCTAGTTTCTCCGCCATAGCGAGGATTTCTTGAAAGTCGGTGACGCCGCGAAGCTGGATTTCCTGAACGATGTCCTGCTTCAGGCCGCCGATGTAGCGGTCGATGCGCCCGCTCTCGTGCATGTATCCCACCTGCTCGCATAGCGCTAGAAATCCGCTCGTGTAGTCTTAGACGGAACCGAGTTGGCGCCAAGTGCGGAGCTTCTGTCGCGCCGCGATCGAAGCCGCAATTGGCTCGAAACGAGCGCGCAGACCTGCGCACTACGCGTCCCACGTGCGATACTGGGGCACCTCCACGAAATACGACGGCGCCCATGGTTCGGTTTGTCCTTCCCGTGTCGGTAGAGTCGCGTAGTCCATCGGCTTCGTGACGATGACGCGCCACCAATCCATGGCTGGTCCTCGCAGCAGCGACACGGCGTAGCGAATTTTCGCCGTATCCTCCGAGACGTAGTTGGCGTCGAAAAACACGTTCATCGTGAACAACCACGCCTGAACGGTAGGACCACCCCTTTGCCTGGGATCGAAGCATGGCGGACACTGCGGCTTCAGCGGCATCGGTGACGGCAGTGCCGAATTGTCGGTTGGTGCCGAAATTGTGACGCATGGCTGGCTTCGGGCCGCATTCGTCGCTTCGGGGTGTGTCGTGCCATGGTCGTCGTCTCCGTCAGGGCGGACGACGCCATCACTGGCCGCGCTCGTGGGTTGCCCCACGCTTCCGTGTTGTGATGCTTGTGGTGCGGGCTGTTCCGGGGTGCCAGGTGCTTGAGATAGTGCTTGTTGTGCTCGTGTGAGATCATTTTGCAGGGACGAGCGTTCTGCCGTCAACGTCGTGATTTCTTCGGCGCTCTCGCGGATTTGTCGCAGCAGATCGTTCAAGTGCTCCTGCGTGGGAGTCCTGACGTCGATATGCTCAGCCATTTCGAAGGGCGTCGGCTCGTCTTAGTCTAGGCGCAGTCGTGGCTGCACGCGTTTACGAGAGAACGCGAGGACAGCGGCTCCTAGGTGCTAAGGTGCGTGAGTCCCTTCGAGTGAAAAATCAAAAGTTGATTTCCTGGTGTGCGGAGATGCGCGGTCCGAAAAGGAAAGAGGCTCTGGATACCAAGTGTTACGGGTAGCGAGAATTGCACTAAGGTGCCAAACGAGTACAAAATGTGAGCGAAGGCATGAACGAACATTTATACGGGAAACATGCAAACGGTAACGCGGTGCGTGCGAGCTAGCTAATGCTATGCTGGCAGCGAGGCTCGGGCTAGTCCCGAAGCGTAGGCCGATACGGCCGGGCCAGCAGTGCGAGGTTTGGCAAAACAGTTCGCGCGAAGTTGGCGAAGCCCCGTTAGCAGTAACGGGTGAACAAGGGCTGTTGCTGTACGCGATGTAGTCGGACTCCGTAAGGAATGCCGAGAAAAATCCTTACAATTTGCCACCCACCCCCCGGTCCTTCCCGGTCCTTGTCACTTGGTCATCACACTCCGCCACAAGTCCCGCCCTCGTTCACCCGCCAACACACGCTGAATCATCTCCTCCTTCTGCGCCTGCTGCTCCGCGCACCGCTGCTCTTGGGCCGACCTGCTCTTTCCGCTCCTGCTCGCATCCTCCCCATTCGTCTCCCAGAAACCTGAACGTATCCGAGCCTGAGTCTCAGCGCGTTTCACGGAGCTAGCCACACACCGGCGCACGGCAGCGTACAAATCGTCTCGCGCATGCGCTAACATGGCAGCAGCTGCGGGATTGCCCACAGCTGCCCCGTCCCCCCTCCCCCCTGCCCCCTCTTCTCCACCCTCCCACCCGTGACCCTCTCCCGCAAGTCCTCCGCCATTCCCGGCGCACGCGATGATAGCGGCGCTTGAATCTGGACCGTTCATCAGTAGAAGCGGGTTCCGGTTCGGGGCCCACGGTCGGAGGGTTTGAAACATGCGGTGGACGTGGAACAGTAGCGGGATGACGTGGCCGCCGCCCGCTGCTCCTCCCTTGCCGCTTGACAGGTTCCGCTGCGCGGATTGCGGGGTTTGGATCTCCTGGAGCGGCGGACGCACGTCGTCGAGCACAAGCAGGCCGTCCGCCGCGATCTGCGGGTGAAGCGGCGGAGGGACGAAGCGCAGCTGAGGAGGCGATCGCGGGTAGTCGTTCGGGAAGGAGATGAGGAACTCGAAGATGCCGCCCTCGTACCATCCGCTGTACCCGATGGAGCTGGCACTTCCCTGACTTTCCGTCTTCAAGCCAGAAGTATCCGTTACATTCTGCTCGCCGCTCGCGCTTTGCTCGTGCTGCGAGACAGCGACTGCTCCGGCGGTGTCGCTGTCACTAATCTGCTCTCCCATGTAGTTTGTCAGCCCAGCTTCAGTTAACGTATCCACGACGCTCGCGCTTTGACCGATAAAGATGACACCCTTCCACGTCAGCGGCATCCCCGCTGCTGGAGCGACGTAGACGCCAGGCGGTGCATGCGATCGAAGGCTCCTGAACTCGAACTTCAAGCTGGTGTCGCGGAAGTAGGTGGAGTTTCCCCTGGATGCTAACGACCTCGGTGTATGTGACATCATTTGCGACTTAACTCCTGCCATGCCGTTTCACTAACAGATATATCGACTATTTTTCCAAAAGCTGCGAGAAACGAAGACGACAGTTGGTCTACCGTAATTGCGCGTACCAAGAACAGTGGATGAGGAGGAACTAAGAGAAGAGATGCTGGTATGAGGGTGGAATGGAATGGCCAGATGGGAAAAAAAAAAGTCGCACTTCGCTTTCTGGCAAGCAACGGACCGCGGCAAGTTTGAAAATGCTCCAGATTTCCCGCTTTGCTCAGCCTGACAATTTCAGCGAGAGCCATACCCGTTATTCAAAACCCACAAGTGAGTTCAAAGCTCTCTTATTCTTTCCCTCATAGGCAATGAATGTACAGTTGTCTATGTACATATGGTACATGCAAAGCAGAAATATGGCAAATATCCAGAGAAATAAATACTTACAATCGAAAAGTATAAAAGGTCTGATTATAAATTAGAGAACAATGAGTATTATCCTCATTATTCTTGTTCTATATATTTCCAGAAAGTAGGCACCATGGTTTGTATAAATCACAGCTCTCAATGGTGTCTGGCAGAATGTGGGAGCAGGCGATAACAGCTAAATGCAAGAGCACTTCAATTTTCAAAGGGGCGAGGTTTACACTAGCGCGGACCAACTAACACAACAGAGTTTCCAGATTTTGCGGAGTCCACCTCCCCCCTGGTATTTTCGTTGGGCCTATTCAGAACATTGGTCTCTCATTTCTCCACAATGGTTTCTCCTCCCATCATCCTCACAGATCAGCCTCTGGTCTGAATGTCGGCTGGATTTTCCATCTCTGTGATATCTCATGCATGTATGATGGCTGCAAGCTAGACCACTGATCTTAGGGCCACCGAGTTTCAGTTGCTGGTGGGAGGGAGGCTGAATCTCTGCGGATGGTGGAACCGTGATGGTCGGATTTCTTCAAGCCCGATCCTTCTGATATTCCATCAGATTCATCCACTTTCACTTCAATTCTGTCGCCGCTTGATCATATTGGCATTGCGATCGCCAATCGATCGACAGGGAAGAGGGTTTCAGAGCGGCATGCTATCCATAGCAGCTGCGACGAAGCCTATTTTCAGATAGGCGAATCTGGTAGGAGTACAGAAAGTAGCACAGTCTAAACCTTCACAGTCCGCAAGAACCGGGACGGACCCTGCATTTTTATCGCTACTTCGCTGTCCGGTGGCCGCGTCAGGCGGTGGCTCGGAGGCAGCATGGCGGCCTCGTGGGCGCGGCAGTTTCGCGCCACCCTTCGACGCAACCTACTCATCAAATGGCGCGACGGCTCGCAGACCCTTCAGGAGATCTTCCTGCCGGTGAGCTCGAAAGGATTCGGATCTCTGCTGCCTGCCAGGAATTGGAGATTTGACGGCGTGCGATGATGCGAAACCCATCGATCGGACCGCCGGAATGTCGTCGCGCTTCGCGGATGTTTCCGATTCTGGCCTTTCGGTACTTGTACACACTGGGATTGTCGATTGGTGGCACGAGCCTTAGAAACGTGTTTCACGCCTTTTTCTACGAGGATGCGGGAAACAATTGAACTCGTTTTGCACCAGATGCACCAGAATGAAGGTCTCGATGCACCAGATTACCCTCATTCATCTCTCTGTTCTCCGCCTTCCTTAACCTCTCTCCACTCCCACCCGCCCCGCCTCCCCCTCGACCCCGTACCACCTTCCTTTCTCCCCTTTCCTCTCCTCTTCTCCCCCCCTTCCTTGCCCCCTTTCCCCCCTCCCCCTGTTCCCTTCCCCTTTCCCCCCCCTCATTTCCTCTCCGCCCCACGCCTCTCCCACCGCAGGTGTACATCATAGTGCTGCTGATCATAGTGAAGGTGTTGCAGCCGGACGCCACGTTCCCCGCGGAGCCCGTGGGCGACGTGGTGGACCCCATGTGCTACGCCGCTGACGCCCGCACGCGGTGCTACCCCGTGCGCGACATCGTTGCCGCCACCACTGTAAGCGCATGCCCAGAGACGAGAGGTCCAGACTTCTTGCTGCTACCGCTGTCTTTTGAGAAGTCTCAAAAATCGCCGCTGACGCCCGCACCCGGTGCTACCCCTTGCGCGACATTGTTGCCGCCACCACTGTAAGCGCATGTGCTGTGTGTATGAGATTCGGACTTTCTTCTTGCTGCAGCTGCTGACGCTGCTGCTACTGGTGCCGCCGCCGCCGCTGCTGCTGCTACTGTTGCTGGTTCTGGTGGTGACAGTGGTGGTGTGGAGTTACAGTGCCCTTTTTACCCATGCTTTCCGGATCCCTCCCCTGAAAGCCCTCCTCTCTCCATCGTTAACCTGATACCGCTCTCTCACCTCTTTCGTCTTTCCCAACCTCCCCTCCCTCCTCCTCGCCCGCTCTCAGTTGCGCCGACTCACCCACTTTCTTCCTTCTTCGTCCGCCTCCTCTTACCCGTCTCCTGCTTGTTTGTTCCCTGCACTGCACGGCGCCCCAGATTGGATACATCCCAGATAATCCGCTCGTGCGCAGCGTCATGGACAGGGCTGTAACTAATCTCGGCAGGAAGTAAGCCTCCTCCCCTCTCGCCTGTGCCCATGCCCATGCCCGTGCCCGTGCCCATGCCCGTGCCCGTGCCCATGACCGTACTTGTGCCCATGCCCATGACCGTACTTGTGCCCATGCCCATGACCGTACTTGTGCCCATGCCCATCCCCATGTCTGTGCACCCATGCCCATGCGAGTGCCGTGCCCCTGCTCATGCCTATAGGCTGCTGCGGCCCTTCCCATGTAAATGCACGTTACCTGCCATCGCCACACGGAGTAGTGCCTGGCATTCTCCTCTTCCCATCCACGCCCAATAAACACCACCGGCAGGCACTAATCTCCCCGACCCTTCTGTGTGTGCCCCCCCTTCCCCCGTGTGTTGTGTCCCCCTGTGTGCCCCCTTATCTGCCCCCCGCCTGTGTTTCCCCGTATGTGCCTCCTTGTGCGCCCCCTTTTGCACCACCTTGTGCGAACCCTCTATGCCCCTCCCGATGCACCCTGTTGTTTCCCTCCCTCTCTTATGTCGCACCACCAGTCAGCCCCGCCTGTCCACGCTCGTTCTGGAGGCTTTCGAATCGAGCCAAGAGCTCTCCGAGTTCCACTACGCACACCCCCAGGCAAGGCAGCACGGTAGCGCGGCAGCCAGGCAAAAAGGCCGGAGGGAGGGAGTGAGAAAGGGAGAAAAGGAAGCAAGGGAGCAAGGGAGCGAGGCAGCCTCGCAGAGAGGCTGAGATGCAGGGAGGCAGCAGGGGATCAGAACAGCACTGTGTCAGCTTCCTCCCACTTCTCCTCTCCTTAACTCCTCTTCCTCTCGTTCTCCTTTCTCCTCCCACCCTCATCTTCACAATTCGACGCCTTCTCACTGATGCTCGCTGTTCTGTAAATCCAAATCCCTGATCACACTCTCACCCCCCATTTGCACCTTACTGGATATCCCGTCCCATGCCCTCCTGTCCCAGGCTGGGTCTTTTCACCAGTCAATAACTTCGTTTTTATCATTCCATCCCATCCCATCCCATCCCATCCCATCCCATCCCATCCCATCCCATCCCATCCCATCCCATCCCGTCGCATCCCACGCCAGGCGTTGTTCGCAGCAGTGGAGTTCGAGGGCATGGCAGCAGACAGTGTTGCCCTGCCTCCAGACACGCGCTTCACCATTCGCATCAACGGTACGCTCTGCCTCCCCTTAAACGCACCACTTTCTCCTACGTACAACCTCCCCCAACCCGCTGCTGTTCTTCTCCCCCCTCTCCACCCTCTTCCTCTTTCCTCTCACCTTCCCATCCCCCTTCCTGGCGCTCCCTTCTTCCTCCTGTCTCCTCCCGCCCCTCCCGTTTTCCATCCCGCCCGCAGGGCAAGAATGTTCGCTACACGTGCCAGAATGTTTAGTGTAAACACTGTTTTGTTCACCATCATTCCTCCCCTCCTGCCTCCCACTCCTTGGTGCATGTGCAGGCAGTCAGGTGCCGCGCACGTCCAGCTAGCTGACCAGCACCATTTACGAATCTTCACCATCCGTGCCCCTCCCTCGCCCTCCCTCCCTCCCACCCTCCTTCCCGCTCTCTCCCGCCCTCGCTCTCCCTTGTGCACGTGCAGGCAGTCAGGTGCCGGGCACGGCCAGTGAGCGGGCCAGCACGGACGAGTGTCGCCTGGCAGCAGCAGAGTACATCCCCACCGTCTGCCGCTCCCAGCAGTACCTCTCCTCAGGTGACTATTTGACTCTTGAGTCCTCAGGTGAGTGACTCTTTCACTCCTCTGACTCGACTCAAAGGCAGTGCAGTGGTGAGTGTCGGCTGGCAGCAGCAGAGGACATCCTCACCGTCTGCCGCTCCCAGCAGTACCTTTCCTCAGGTGAGTGACTCTTTTCATTCTTGAGAGTCCTCAGGTGACTCGTTGACTCTTGAGTGGAGATGTTAATGTGTTGGGGATGAGAGGAGGGGGAGGGGAGAGGTTCAATAGCATTTGAGAAATGATAGCTAGCAGCAGTGCAGTGTGAGTCAGGGAGAAGAGGAAGAGAGGGAGCACGCACACGGTTACCATTGGATGGACCATAACGCCACACCAGCGCACACCCTGTCATAGAAGAATAGCCAATTCACCACCTGCCTCCTCCTCAGTATCCCCCCCCTTTCTCTCTCTTTGCTGAACCCCGGATCCCCCCCTTTCTTTCCGCCCCCCTCCCTCTTTCTTCGGCCCCCCTCCCTCTTTCTTCGGCCCCCTTCCTCCTCCCCCTCCCTCCTTCTCCCTCCCTTCCTCCTCTCCCCATTTTCTCCCCCTGCCCCCGTCTCGTTTCTCTCTCCAAGCAGGTTTCCTGTCGATACAGCTGGCGGTGACGTCAGCGCTGATGGAGACGGCATGGAACGGGACGTCGTGTGGCATGCAGAGCAACCCCATCACGGTGCACGAGCAGCACATGCCCATCCCGGAACTGCACAAGTATGCTGTTGCCCACCTGCCTTCCATAACTGTTTTTTTAGTCGACTAACATGCAGAGCAACCCCATCACCGTGCATGAGCAGCACATGCCCATATCAGAACTGCACAAGTACGCTGCCTGCCTGCGTGCCTGCCTTAACTCCCACATGCCTGATCCCATCCCACCGCCCGCCTTGTTTCGAGTGGACTCTAAAACCAGAGCAACCCCATTACCGTGCATGAGCAGCACATGCCAATACCAGAACTGCACAAGTACGCTGCTTTTCCCGCCTCAACCCCGCTTTTGTTCAGTCCTTTTCCGTACCTGCCTCTCTCCCTGCCTGCGATGATGCCCCACTCCATACCCCTCCGATGCCTCCCATACACTCTCCCGTACAACCCCTACGCCCACCCCCTCCCCCATGCCCCCAGGTCGTTCGCCACAACGGAGTTCCAGCTGTTCTGCGCCATCTACATGGTGCTCTCGCTCATCCCCATGCTGCAGGTGGCCATCACGCAGATCGTGCAGGAGAAGGAGAGTCTGCTCAAGGTGAGAGACACCCGGCTCAAAGCCTTCTCATGCTGAGGGGGGGATGAGAAGGTTTCAAAGGAGGGGCGAGATAGATGGAACAGGATGAGGCACAAGAGAGGGCGTATGAGGGGCTGCATGTTGTGGATGGGGGGCCTGCGTGTGAGTCTCGCTCTGTGTACTGGCGGACGTGTTGGAGTCAATTTTGAAGGAGGATAGACTTCAACAGATTCTCAGTCTCTTTACTCCCTGCTCCCCCCGCCCCCCTCCCTGCCCTCCGCGCCCTCCCCGACCTCCCTGCCGTTTCTGCCCTCCGCGCCCTCCCCCCCTTCCCATGTCATGCCCCTCTTTGTCCAGGACTGCATGCTGCTGATGGGGCTGCGAGAGTCCGTGTACTGGCTGGCGTGGCTGCTCACATACGCCTTCATGGCTGCCATCACCTCTGCCGTCATTGTAAGCTGCCTTGCCTGCCTGCCCCTTTGAGGTGCCTCTCAGTCAGTAACCGCTCCATTTCATGCAGTTTTGTTTGGGGCACGGCACGTCAAGAAGCGTCTCATCTCACACAGTTCTGAGGCGCCTCGGAAAGGGCGTGGCTGCTCACGCACGCCTTCATGGGTACTTGCTGTCACCCCCCCGCCGTCATTGTTAGCTGCCCCTATGAGGCGCCACAATTATTCTCTCACCTCACGTGGTCTTTTGGCGCCTAGAAATCTGTCTTGTTTCACGCGGTTCAGAGGTGCCTAACCCGCGGTTCTCATGACTGCTTACATACGCCATCGGCGATGCCATGCCATGCCAACCCTCCCTTCCTCACCATTCTCCCCGCATCCCTCCCTGGTCTGTTCCTCAAACACTCAAGTCGCTGACAGTGAAGCTCACGTCGCTCTTCTCAGCATCCACCTATGGCGCCCTCTTCTGCGTCATCCTTGAGTCGACTTGAAAGTGTCATCCCTCCCTCCTCCCTGTTCTGTTCGTATGCCCCCCCGCCCCCACACACAGTCGCTGACAGTGAAGCTCACGTCGCTCTTCTCAGCCTCCACCTACACGGCCCTCTTCTGCATCATCTTCCCGTACTCCCTCTCCCTCATCGCCCTCGCCTTCGCCCTCAGCACTCTCTTCACCCAGGTAACGCACCCCTCCCTCACCTAACCCAGCACACACTCCAGCCTCTAGAGAGACGCTACATGCGTAATTTGATTCTATGAATGTGATATGGTTGGTTGGCTGAGTTGGCAGGGGTTCGAATCACAGCAGGCCGGGTAGCTGCTGCTTGCCTAGACTGGTCCGTTCCTCCCTGACACGGGTAACCACGTTCCCTTGGTTGAGTTGTCCGCTCTCCCTTCTTTGTTGGCCTTCATCCCTTTCTCCCTACCCCTTCCACCGTTCCCTCCCCCCTTTCCCCCTCACACCAGGTGGGCAAGGCAGCAGCGGCAGCAGCGGGCAGTCTGCTGCTGTGCAGTCTGCTCGTCATCCCCATCCAGCTACTCTCCCTCGGAGCAGCCATCGTGTACCCACTGCTGCTGCTCTCCCCCGTGCCCTTCACCATCGCCATCACCACTGTCACCCGCGCTGAGGGCATGGGGCAGGGCGTGTCCTTGGGCTCCTTCTGGCTTACCGTGAGACCCCAAACCACCCTTCCGTTCTCCGCTTGATAAAAGTAGCGTTTTCAGACGTCTCAAATCATCCGCGCTCAGGGCATGGGGCAGGGCGTGTCCTTGGGCTCCTTCTGGCTTACCGTGAGACCCCGCCTTTTCGTCCTTCCCCCCGTGATGCCTTTGACCGTCTTGCAGCTCCTTTCGAATCTTGTTCTTAACTTGCACCTCTCTCTCAACCCGTCCTTTTCACATCATTCTTGATCGCTGTTGTTCCAACCCCCCCTCCTCTCCCCCTCCCCCCTCCTCTTCCCACCCCCCTCCCTTTCCCCCATTCCCACTCACACCCCATATCAAGCTTCAATTGTGGCGCCCTCTCCCATTCCCCGTCCCTTAATCCACCTGTTCTGCTTCCACCAAGAAACGCCTTGAGCATACTACAACCCACTCCTCTCTCTTCCCCCCGGCACCACTCCCGTCCTCCCTTCCCGCTCGCCTCCCTTCCCCGGCTCCTCCGTTTTCCCTTCCCGCTCTCCTCCCTTCCTCCGCTCTTGCCGTTGCAGCGAGTGGGCGTGAACCCAGGGGATGACGACAACATAATAACCATCGGTGCCTGCATCATCGCCTTTATTTTTGACACTGCTCTCTACCTCTTCCTCGCGTGGTCAGTCACTCACCCTGTGATTTTTTAGTTTTGAGACGTCTCAAAAGACAACATAATAACCATCGGTGCCTGTATCATCGCCTTTACATATGACACTGCTCTCTACCTCTTCCTCGCATGGTCAGTCGTCGACTCACTGCATGCATGCATGCTTGATGCATGCACCCAGCTCCCCTTTTCCCCTCAATCGAGGATTGTCTTGCTGCAACCGCCTCCACCCACGCTCCTTTCCGCACCTCCTTGCGGCATGCTTACCTCCTCACCCCACTTGGCCCCATGTCTCAGTTCCCTTCCTAGGACATGACGGGGTGCATGCCACATACATCCCTTGCTCTGTTCCCACGCCCATGCCCATGCCCATGCCCACGCCCATGCCCACGCCCACGCCCATGCACATGCCTCATGCCCGTGCCCATACCTATGCCCATGCCCATGCCATGCGCCTGCCACGTGAGCAGGTACCTGGACAACGTGTGGCCGCACCCCCAGCGCGGCCCTAAGAAGCCGGCTGACTTTGTCTTCTCTGCCGCCTACTGGTTCCCTGCGCGCCATGCCCTGCGCTACTCTCAGCTGGTGCCCCCTCACACACTCACTCTCACACTCAAAACTCACACTCCCCACACTCCAACCGAGACGCGTCATGTCTTCCGTATGGCCTCCCTGTGAATCTCTGTGGTCGTTCCTGCCCTTTTCATGCCTGCCTGTAGCGATCGCTGCGAGAATGCCTAGAAGCTTTCATGAGGTTCATGCTATGGCATGGCATGGTTGTATATCCGGTCGAATCGGTGCATACGTTGGGGGATGGCGCATAGCATGTGTGGACATGGCGTGCCATGTTCGCACGAACATGCCGTGTGGTGATGGGCGGGCATAAGAGATGCTAACCAAATACCTGTATCATGACGGTGCGTGTGTGTGGCATGTGTGTGTGGCATGTGTGTGTGGCATGTGTGTGGCGTGTGTGTGGCATGTGTGTGGCATGTGTATGGCCTGTGTGTGGTATGTGTGTGTGTCAGGAGGAGGATGGGGGAGGGGATGACATGGATCATGAGGGCGAGGAGTGCAGGTTGGACGTGGGCCAAGACTCTGCTGCTCCCTTGCACTCTACCACCACCACCAGCACCACCGCCTCCACCACCGTGCCTCTCACTGCCTCATCATCGTCTCACAATGCTGGTAAGACGGCCTCTCATCATCCCTCTGCAATGCACCCTCTCTATCTCCTACCCTCGCACTCACTGCACCAAACATTTTCAGTGAGAACAGTAGCCCGCCCGTCCCTTACCCATTCCCCACCCATCCCTTGCCCACCCCCCCCACCCCCACCGTACCCCATCCGGCCATGCAGAGTCGCCTATAGAGGACGTGCATGGGTTCCAGAGTCACCCGTTCCTCAGAGTCTCCCATCCCCCTCCCATCTCCCTCCCGTCTCCCACCCGCCCCCCCACCGTCCCCCATGCGGCCATGCAGAGTCGCCTATAGAGGACGTGCGTGGGTTCCGCCCGGCGCTGCTCATCAACCATCTCGCCAAGTCCTTCCCTGCACGCGGCCTCCTCTCCTCCTCCGCCTCCTTCGCCTCCTCCTTCTTCTCCCGCCGCACGCGCAGGCCCTCTGCCCCCGTCCCTGGTGCTGCTGACAGCGCTGGTGCGGCTGAAGGTGCCGCTGGTGCTGCTGGTGGTGGGCGTGGGGACGAGCGGAGGGTGTATGCTCTCCAGGGCCTCTCTCTCACTCTCTACGAGGGGCAGTCCTTCGCATTCCTGGTATGCAGCCCTTGTATTGACTTGACTCAGAAGTCTCTCTGAACGGACACAGAATTTGCTTTGAGTAGACTCTCAAAAGCCACCTTGAGTGCAGGGTGTATGCACTCTCCTCCAGGGCCTCTCCCTCTCACTTTGCAAGGGGCAATTCTTAGCATTCCTGCTTCGCCCCATACATATCTCATACGTCCTTATTATTAGCACCTCTCTCCTCCCCTCTCCCAACGCTTCCCTGCCTCCCTTTCCCCTCACTCCCTCCATAATTTCGAGTGCACCCGTGCCCTTTTCCATCCCCTCCTTTCCCTCCCCACCCCCCTCCTCCTCTGATTGCTTTCCTGTTCTCTCTATGCGCCCCACCGCACCTCATTACACGGCACAGGGGCACAGCGGGTCGGGCAAGTCCACAGTGCTGAGCACGCTGGCAGGGCTGCAGAAGCCCTGTTTTGAGTCGACGCATAACACTGATTCCCTGTTCTCCCTGTGCTTCCCACCCACCTCACCTCACCTCACCTCATTGCACGGCACCGCATGGCACGCCACATGGCCACAGCGGGTCGGGCAAGTCCACAGTGCTGAGCACGCTGGCAGGGCTGCAGAAGCCCTGTTTTGAGTCGACGCATAACACTGATTCCCTGTTCTCCCTGTGCTTCCCACCCACCTCACCTCACCTCACCTCACCGCACGGCACCGCATGGCACGCCACAGGGGCACAGCGGGTCGGGCAAGTCCACAGTGCTGAGCACGCTGGCAGGGCTGCAGAAGCCCACCGAGGGAGAGGCGTTTCTCTACGGGCTCAGCCTCACCAAGGGCGGTACGTTCGTGCGTGCATGCATGCATGCATTCATTCATTCATTCATTCATTCATTCATTCATTCATTCATTCATTCATTCATTCATTCATTCATTCATTCATTCATTCATTCATTCATTCATTCATTCATTCATTCATTCATTCATTCATTCATTTATTCATTCATTCATTCATTCATTCATTCATTCCATAATGTGCTATGTTGTTTCACACTTGGATGATTATCTTGCTCCGCACTCCTAGCTCCTTGTTCTGGTTTTTCTAGGATAGGTTGGGTCTGCTACGGACGAGAGATGGTGTTGCTGTTGTTTGTGCTGCCGCTACTGCTGCTGGTGTTTCTATCGTTGTCCCCCGTTCTAAACGACCCTCCTCCCTATCTCACTCCCTCCACCCTCTCTAAACCCCCCATTTCATTCTTACCCGTTTCAATTCGTCACAAAGCTTAATCATTTCCTCTCCTTCCCTTCCATTCGTCCATTCTATCCATCCCCCCACCTTCCATTCTGTTCTCTCGCCTCGCCACCCCCCCGCTTGTACCCGCTCCCTTCCAGACTCGTACATTCACTCCCTAGTGGGGCACTGTCCTCAGAGGAACATCCATGTGGCGGTGCTCACAGTCAAGGAGCAGGTGCGTTGAGGCCCAGCCCAGCGCAAGTATGACATGGGGTGTGTGGGTGGGTGGGGTTGTGGGGCGACTTTTGAGTCGACTCAAAGTTGTGGGGTTTTCACTCGCTGGTGGGGCACTGCCCTCAGAGGAACATCTATGTGGCTCCTTGACTGTGCTCACAGTCAAGAAGCAGGTGCGCTGGTGCTCTCAATGCGAGTATGTTGCGGGGTGTGTGGGTAGGGTGGGGGTGTGGACTGTATGTGAGAGAGGGGGTTGGAGGGGAGGAGAGGAAGTATGCCACAGTGGGAGGAGCAGGAGGGATGAGGATGGGGAAAGTGGATGTTGACAAGGGGGGAATACATTGTGGAATTAAGGAACCAATGCTCCTTTCGTCTCCTCGTTCACAATCTGAGAGCTAAGTACTCGTACTGTACACTTCCACTCTCCCACCCCCCACCCACTCCCACTCCTGCTTCCACTCTTCACTCCTGCTTCCCCTTCCTCTTCCCCCCTCCCCTCCCCTTCGTCACCTCTCTCCCTCCCTTCCCATTCCCCGCACCATCCTCCTTCTCTTCCTCCTCTCCATCCCTCTCCCATTCCCCCTCCTCCTCCCCCTCCCACTTCCTGTCCCCCTCTCCCTCTCCATCCCTCTCCCTCTCTTTCCGGCCCCCTCCCCCGCCCCAGCTGACCTTCTTTGCGGAGATAAAGGGCGACCTAGACCGATTGAGCGCTGCAGAAACCGAAGAAGGCGCAGGGGAGGAGGGGGAAGGCGGGGAGGCGGACCAGCAAGGGGGGGGAAGGGGCGGGTGGAGGCTGGGGGCATGGCGGCTGGGGAGGGAGAAGGTGCGGCAAGCAGTGGGCGACCTGATGTTTGAGATGGGGCTGCAGGGGTGGGCCGACAGGCCTGCCTTTGAGCTCTCGCCCTCGCAGCAGCGCAAGCTCAGCCTTAGCATTGCGCTCATTGGAGAGCCTCAGGTGGGTAGCGGTGGGGAGTGGTGGGCAAGAGGTTGAGAGAGGTGGGAGGGTGAATGGGAGAGGTGGGTGGGGTGGGGGTGAGGGGCGGTTGTGAGTGTTTGGAAAATGCATATGCATTTCGCTCCTGTACTGCAGGCTTCTTTCTGTCTTTCATTCCTGACATGCTTTCCGCCTAGTCCCGTCCCATCCCACCCCCTCCTGTCCCATTCCCTCTTCTCCCATCCCGCCCCTTTCCATCCCCTCCCGTCCCGTCCTGTCTCATCCCTTACTCTCCCGTCCCGGCCCGTCCTGTCCCATCCCATCCCATCCCATCCTGTCCCGTCCAATTCCCCCTAGGTGTTGCTGTTGGATGAGCCGACCAAGGGCATGGACCCCTCCTCCAAGAAACAGGTGCGCACTTACCCCCCCATATGACTTGCATAAGAATTTTATCATACCCAATAAAATCCCCATCGCGCCCCTATCCTGATCCCCATCCCCATCCCCATGCCCATGCCCATCCCAATCACCACAAAGATGTTCATCCCAAGTTTCCCTCTTCCTCTTTCCAATCCCTTCCGTCTCTCCGCCTCCATCCCCCATTTCTTCTCCATCCCCTCTCCCTTTCACCATCCCTGTACTCATTCACACCCCACTCTAATGCCCACCCCCTCCAGGTGTGGGATCTGCTGCAGAGGCGCAAGGCGGGGCGGGTGGTGGTGTTCACGACGCACAGCATGGAGGATACTGAAACCTTGCACTCTCCAATCCCCTTCTCTCTTCCCCCCATTCCTATGCCCATGTGCCACATGCCCCTTCCCCCACGCCTGCCCCTTCCCCTGCCCCTGCCCCTGCCCCTGCCCCTGCCCCTGCCCCTGCCCCTGCCCATATCCCTGCCCCTGCCCCTGCCCGTGTCCCTGCCCCCCTATCCACGTCCATTCCTCCTTCCCCCTTCCCTCCAGGTGTGGGATCTGCTGCAGAGGCGCAAGGCGGGGAGGGTGGTGGTGTTCACGACGCACAGCATGGAGGAGGCAGACCTAGCAGCGGACCGTAAGGCCATCCTCTCCCATGGCCGCCTCAAGTGCTGTGGCTCCTCGCTCTTCCTGCGCAACCGCTTCGGTGCGTTCGTGGGGGGGGGGGGGGGGGATAGTGGGGGGCAGTCCAGAGGGGTGCATTCGGTGGGGTTCAGTGGGAATTAGAGGGGGTAGAAGTGGGTTAGAGGGGCTCCGAGGGGTTACATGTGGGGGCTGTGGGGTGGAGGATGAGGGTGGAGGGGGCGGACGGGCTCAAATGGGAAGGGTGATAAGGAGGGTGGTGGGCGGGTGGTGGTGTTCACGACGCACAGCATGGAGGAGGCGGACCTAGCAGCGGATCGCAAGGCCATCCTCTCGCACGGCCGCCTTAAGTGCTGCGGCTCCTCGCTCTTCCTGCGCAACCGCTTCGGTGCGTTGGGGGTTGGGGAGGGAGGACAGCTTACGGGGATGCATTTAGTGGGGCGTAGTGGGGTTGAAAGCGGCTCAGAGGGGTTTATTAGGGTTAGAAGTGGCTTCGAGCGATGTGCAGTGTAAAGGGGGTGGATGGGTTCGGATCGAAGGGGCATAAGGAGGGTGGTGGGTGGCTGGGTGGGTGGGTGGGTAGGGTGGGAGCCCCACATGCTTTTGAACCGCCTCAAATCCTTCCTCACCTCTCTCCCAAACATGTTCACCCTTCCGCAGGCCTGTCCTACCTGCTGCACATCTCCAGGGGAGCGGTGTTCAAGGGGTCCAAGGTGGTGCAGCTGGTGCAGTTGCACCCTATGTGCCATACAACCACCTTAAAAGCCCTGTCCTCCCCCTTTTCCCCCACCCCACCCCACCCCAACCACTCACCCCTCCGCAGGCCTGTCATACCTGCTGCACATCACCAAGGGAGCGGTGTTCAAGGGTTCGAAGGTGGTGCAGCTGGTGCAGTCGCACGTGCCAGATGCGGTGCTGGTGCCCTCTGCAGGCCTGCACCAGATAGACTATGTCTCCTACTCGCTGCCCTTCCATGCCGCCTCGCACATCCCCGCGCTCCTGCTCGACCTCTCCACGTGCGCGCATCCATCTACACGTGCCTTTCGCCCTCATTTTGCCCGCTCGTATCGCCTGCTTGTTTTGCCTGGGTGTATTGCCTGCTCTTTCCTCCTCGTTTTCCTTGCACATATGCTCCGTGCACATCACTTTTCTTCCCCCTTGCCTTCCGCCTCCTTCCCCCTCCTCTCCTCTTTCCTTTCTTCCCGTCCTCCTTCCTCCTCCTTTCCTCGCAACCTCTTTGCTGCCAACCAAGCTCCGTATCCATATCTCCGATGGCCAATATGGCACACACTGTCTACCATTCGTCTTCCCAGTATTCCGTCCAACACACACTCCCCCCTCTTCCCCCCCTGCTCGTTCAGCCAAGCGGCGGAGCTAGGGGTGGAGGATGCAGCAATGGAAGCCACAACCCTAGAGGAGGTGTTCCTCAAGTTCCAAGACGAGGACGAAGAAGCAGCAGGGGCCATCCTCGCCCCACCCACAGCTGATGGCTCTGCTCTAGAGCTCGTGCTGGGCATGGGCGGCGCCTCAGGCGCTTTGGCAGAGGAGGAAGAGGGGCAGTCTCTGTTGGATTCTCCTGGGAGCAGCAGCGGCGTGCGTTCAGACAGTGCTGCTGCTGGTGGCAGCCGCGGCGGCGCTGCTGGTGGTGGGGGTTTGTCGGGAGCAGCACGGGGCGGGAGAGGGGGGGGTGGTGGGGGGAATGGGGGGGATGGCAGTGAGGGGAGCACGGTGGGGAGTGCGGTGGGGGGCGCGGCGGGGTTGGTGAGTGAGGGGGCGGCACGGGACAAACCCCTGGCGGTGTTTCGGAGGCAGGTGAAGGGTGTGTGCTTCCTCCGGGCAGCTAGCTACTGGCGCAACACAGGCAACACTCTCAGCACCTTCGGCCTGCCTGTGGTATGTGTTATGTTGTTGTTGTGTAATGTGATGCGATGTGGTGGGATGGGATGGGATGGGATGGGATGGGATGGGATGGGATGGGATGGGATGGGATGGGATGGCATGGCATGGCATGGGTGTGATGGGATGTGTTGTGATGGGATGTGGTGTGATGTGATGTGATGTGATGTGATGTGATGTGATGTGATGTGATGTGATGTGATGTGATGTGATGTGATGTGATGTGATGTGATGGTGTGGTGTGATCTGGTGTGGTGTGGTGTGGTGTGGTGTGGTGTGGTGTGATGTGATGTGATGTGGTGTGGTGTGACTGGCCTGTTGCATTCCTAGTGTGGCATGTGCTGGGCAATAATTCTTCCTGCACTATGACATTCCCAAGTCCCTGCTCCTCCTCCTCCTCCTCTCCACTAACACTTCATCTCCCCTGATACCCTCCTCTCACTTACCCCCTACCCCCTCCCCCACAACCCTACTTCCTCCCCCATCACCCACAACCCCTGTGCAGATCTTTGCTCTAGCAGCGCTGCTCATCCAACTTTTTGGCTCGTCAGTGACCTCCCCGTCCCTCCTCCTAGCAGCCCCGCAGCTAGCCCGTGACAGCGCATACCCGCTCATCTACAGCGCCACCTCCCCCTCCTCCGCCATCGCGGCCAAGCAACTGCTAGACGAGCTGGGGGACAACCACGCGCAGCTGGGGTCGGAGCAGGCCGTGCTAGAGCGGTTCCAGACGGACGTGGCGAATGCGGAGCGCAACGGGGTGGGGAGCAAGGCTGTGGGCGTGCTGTTTCAAGGCGTTGACATGGGACGTGAGTGCTGGGAGGGCGGGAAGATGGGGGTTTCCAGGTGGTTTTGGGGGGCTGGGTTTGCAGGAACCACACCTGGATAGGAACGGGGTGGGGAGCAAGGCTGTGGGCGTGCTGTCTCAAGGCGTTGACATGGGACGTGAGTGCTGGGAGGGCAGGAAGACGGGGATTTCCAGGTGGTTTTGGGGGGCTGGGTTTGAGGAACCACACCTGGATAGGAACGGGGTGGGGAGCAAGGCTGTGGGCGTGCTGTTTCAAGGCGTTGACATGGGACGTGAGTGCTGGGAGGGCAGGAAGACGGGGGTTTCCAGGTGGTTTTGGGGGGCTGGGTTTGCAGGAACCACACCTGGATAGGAACGGGGTGGGGAGCAAGGCTGTGGGCGTGCTGTTTCAAGGCGTTGACATGGGACGTGAGTGCTGGGAGGGCAGGAAGACGGGGGTTTCCAGGTGGTTTTGGGGGGCTGGGTTTGCAGGAACCACACCTGGATAGGAACGGGGTGGGGAGCAAGGCTGTGGGCGTGCTGTTTCAAGGCGTTGACATGGGACGTGAGTGCTGGGAGGGCAGGAAGACGGGGGTTTCCAGGTGGTTTTGGGGGGCTGGGTTTGCAGGAACCACACCTGGATAGGAACGGGGTGGGGAGCAAGGCTGTGGGCGTGCTGTTTCAAGGCGTTGACATGGGACGTCAGTGCTGGGAGGGCAGGAAGACGGGGGTTTCCAGGTGGTTTTGGGGGGCTGGGTTTGCAGGAACCACACCTGGATAGGAACGGGGTGGGGAGCAAGGCTGTGGGCGTGCTGTTTCAAGGCGTTGACATGGGACGTGAGTGCTGGCAGGGCAGGAAGACGGGGGTTTCCAGGTGGTTTTGGGGGGCTGGGTTTGCAGGAACCACACCTGAAAAGGGGGGTTGGGAAAAAGGCTGTGGGCGTGCTGTTCCAAGGGTGTGGACATGGGATGTGAGTGCTGGGAGAGCGGGGATGGTTGGGACAGGGGGAGGTGGGTGGGATGAGGGAATAGGGGAAGGGGGGTGCAGGTGGGGGGAAAGGTATGCTGCAGCAGTGCCGATTCAACCAGAGTTTGACAATAGGCTTGGCTGGATGCTCTGCTCTGCTAGTGGTTCCTTGCTCACAATAGTCATGACCAGAGTTCCTTGCTCACTTGAGCTCACCGCCATCTCTCATCCCCCTTGCTCAGTTGCCCCGTCCCGCTTTCTCAATCCCCATACCCCGCGTTCCCCCTCTCTTTCCCTTCTTCACAACCATCTCTCACCCCCTCTCATCGCTTCCCGTGCGCGCCTATCACAGAGTGCGGGTACAGCTTCACGTTGCTGTACCAGCCGTGGCGCATCCACCAGGTGCCAGCAGTAATCGCAACGCTCAACAACGCGTTCCTCAAGCTAGTTGCAGCACAGCACGACATCCAGACCTCCCCACAGAGCATCACAGTGGAGAGCTACCCGCTGCACTTCACCTCGCCCGACTTTGTCTTCGCGTATATCGTCGCTGCTGTTGTGGCCATTGGGCTGCTCATGGTGCCGCCCATCCTCTCTGCTCAGGTACGCAGCACACTCCAGTTTTGAGACGTCTCAAAACATGGTGCCGCCCATCCTCTCTGCTCAGGTATGCAGCAGCACGCGCCTCCCCCCAGGCACTGTTCTCCGCTCAGGTACATGCGAGTTTCTCTGCACGCTGTCTGCCTGCCTGTCTGTGCACACGCCGCTGCCACGCTTGCCACTGCGCCCTGCCTCCTCGCTCGGCTAACCGAAACGCCTGGCTTTGTGTTCAAAGTCGCTCGATTATTCCCCTCTCAGGTGCACTGGATGTCCATCCGTGCTCACTGCCTCTGCTCACTGTCTGTGACTCTGTGCTGCTCCCTAACCCCTTCTTCCTCCAATCTCCGCTCCACTCAGATGGTAGCAGGGATGGAGTATGGGCTGCGAACAATGCCCAAGGTGTGTGGGCTGCTTGTGAAACACTCGTTCCTCCCTATCCCCTCCGTCCTCCCATCTCTCCACCCCACGACTCAGATGGTAGCGGAGATGGAGTATGGGCTGCGGACAATGCTCAAGGTGTGTGGGCTGCGCGGCTTTGCGCTGTGGCTGGGCACGGCAGCAGTGGACTGCCTCGCCATGTGGCTCTGCGCACTGCTCATCACCGGCATTGGCCTTGCCTTCGGGTCCTCCCCCTTCACTGTGGTACGTTCGCTTACCCTGTGCGCTGTCCCGTGTCTACATTGTGGACTGCCTCGCCAGTGGCGCGCACGTGTCATCACCGCCATTGGCCTCGCCTTCCAGTCGTCCCCCTTCACTGTGGTATGTTATGCTTTTGAGTCGACTCAAAGGCAGCAGAGAACTGCCTCGCCATGTGGCTCTGCGCTGCGCGCTGCTCATCACCGGCATTGGCCTCGCCTTCGGGTCCTCTCCCTTCACTGTGGTACGTTATGCCCTGTCCTGCCGTTTGAACCGACTCGAAAGTCATCAAGTGTCTGGGCACGGCAGCAGTGAACTGCCTCGCCATATGGCTCTGCGCTGTGCGCTGCTCATCACCGCCATCGGCCTTGCCTTCCAGTGCTCGCCCTTCACTGCCCTTCACTTCCAGTTACGCTTACCCTGTGCTGTGTGCTTGTCACTGTGCTGAGCCGTGCCTGTGCTGTCCCATGTCTACATTGTGTGCACTGCATTCACTCGCAATAATCGGTTGGGGTTTTTTTTTAGCAATAAGCAAGCAAGCACCCGCTGTTTCCCGTCCCATTTCCTCCCTATCCCTCGTAGCTTCCACCCCCCTTGCTCCCACTAGCCTCGAATCTCACCTCTTCCTACTCTACCGCTTCTTGCCACAACTCCTCCCCTCTCCCCCTTCTTCCCCCTCTCCCCCCTCCATCCCCGTCCCCACATCAGCCTGCTCTGCCTGCACTCTTCGTGGTGTTCGCCATCACATGCTCACTACTCCTCCCTCTCCCCTTCCCTCCCAACCCCCTTTTTCTCCCATCCCTTGCCCCCGGCTGTCCCCACATCAGCCCGCCCTGCCAGCCCTCTTCGTGGTATTTGCCATCACCATCCCGGCGCTCGTGCTCCTCGCCTACCTCCTCTCCTTCTCCTTCGATTCCGCACAGCTCGCAGCCGCCACGCTCTCGCTCCTCTTCCTCCTCCTGGCCGTCATCCCCTTTGTCTTCATGCTCCGCGTCTCCCCCGCCTCTTTCACCATCCCGCACGGTTTCCTCTCCCTCCTCTCCCCACCCTACGCACTCATCTCCTCTCTCCATTTCATCGCAGCTGCGTACGCACACGAGCCTCTCACCTCCTCCCCTCTCGACATCTACTCTCTCTCTGCCACGGATTACTATTCCCTCCACTACCCCGCCTACCCCGTGCAAGTATCCATGTCAGCAGTACTCATCTCCCTCTGTCTCATGGCAATTCGCCTGAGCCAGCTGCACAAGGATTGGGAGGATCAGGATGAGGAGGGCGCGGGGGATCTAGCAGCTATGATGGGGCCGGGGTATGATGAGGAGGAGGGAGATGGGGATGTGGCGCGGGAGAAGGAGCGCGTGCAGGAGAGTGCGGCCAAGTGGGACTTCGTGCAGGGCGGCGGCGAGGAGGGTGACCTGGTGCTGTGCAGCAGCGTGGGCAAGGTGGGGCAGCAGGGTTGGTGCTAGACTGATGGCAAGAGGTTGAGAGAGAATTTTCAGTTGTGGGTGTGCGGGATGGCTTTTGAGGCGCCTCAAAAGTGGTGCTAGACTGATGGCAAGAGGGTGAGAGAGAATGTTCAGTTGTGGGTGTGCGGGATGGCTTTTGAGGCGCCTCAAAAGTGGTGCTAGACTGATGGCAAGAGGGTGAGAGAGAATGTTTAGTTGTGGGTGTGCGGGATGGCTTTTGAGGCGCCTCAAAAGTGGTGCTAGACTGATGGCAAGAGGGTGAGAGAGAATGTTTAGTTGTGGGTGTGCGGGATGGCTTTTGAGGCACCTCAAAAGTGGTGCTAGACTGATGGCAAGAGGGTGAGAGAGAATGTTTAGTTGTGGGTGTGCGGGATGGCTTTTGAGGCGCCTCAAAAGTGGTGCTAGACTGATGGCAAGAGGGTGAGAGAGAATGTTTAGTTGTGGGTGTGCGGGATGGCTTTTGAGGCACCTCAAAAGTGGTGCTAGACTGATGGCAAGAGGGTGAGAGAGAATGTTTAGTTGTGGGTGTGCGGGATGGCTTTTGAGGCGCCTCAAAAGTGGTGCTAGACTGATGGCAAGAGGGTGAGAGAGAATTTTCAGTTGTGGGTGTGTGGGATGGTGGGGGTAGGGGAGGGGGTGGATTAAGGGTGGGTGGGTGTTTGCAAGTGTAAGAGACAAGTCACATCTGGCCTATTCTTCCCCTCACAGCTTCCCTCTGTCCCGCTTCCCCCTTGGCTTGCAATAGTTGCTCTCTTATGATCTTCCCCGCCCCATGGCGTTCAATCGTCTCCCTGTGTCAGAACTTTGGAGCGTCATCCGGGATGTGTGGAATAGGCAAGGACCCAGGAGTGTGGGCAGTGTCAAACCTCTATTGTCGCTCTCTTATGTTTCTCCTGCCACCCCCCCCCCCTTCCAACCCCATGGCCTTCACTGGTCTCCCTGTGTCAGAACTTTGGAGCGTCATCGGGGGTATGCGGAATAGGCAAGGACCCGGGAGTGTGGGCAGTGTCAAACCTCTGGCTGGGAGTGCCTCGAGGCCAGGTGCACACTCCCACACTCGCACACTCCCACACTCGCACACTCCCACACTCGCACACTCCCACACTCGCACACTCGCATACTCGCACTGTCATGTCGTCCGTGTCCCCATGCATTTTCCCCGTTGCATACTCCCAGCTCCAATTCCCTCTCAATTCCCCAACACATCTGTCCCCTCATCCTCCGCACCAGTTTCTCCTTTATGTATCTCCTGCATTTTTTTTTCCTTTTGTTCAATCTCCATTCTTTCTACCCTCCTCCCCCCACACCGCCTTCCCCTTTCCCCTTCCCTCCTCCCCGTGCCCCCACACCCACCCCATGTCACCGATTGCCATGCATAAGGTGGTGGTGCTGGTGGGCGGGGAGAAGGCGGGGAAGACGACCCTGCTGCAGTGTCTGGCAGGGGCGAGCTGCCTGTCGTACGGCAATGCACTCATCACAGGGCAGAGCGTGCGCTTCACCAACCTCAACGACCCCTCCATCATCGGCTACTGCCCCCAGGCTGATGTGAGCTACTGCCCCCAGGCTGATATGAGCTACTGCCCCCAGGCTGATATGAGCTACTGCCCCCAGGCTGATATGAGCTACTGCCCCCAGGCTGATATGAGCAAGCATGCGCATGGTTCCTCAGAAGTGACACAAGCATAGTACACGAGCCAACCTCAACGACCCCTCCATCATCGGCTACGGCCCCCAGGCTGATGTGAGCAAAACACCCTTGAGCTGCTACTGGTGTCACTTGTGAGAAATGCTTACCTGTAGTACCAACATCCTATATGAGCGTGCCTCAACGACCCCTCCATCATCGGCTACCGCCCCCGGGCTGATGTGAGCAAGCCCGGCGCCCACATATCGCTGCTGATATCACTCTTGCGGGTTCCTCAGAAGTGACACAGGAAGGGCACACGAGCGTATACAACCCTCTCTACCACCGCGCCCCGCTTCCCTCTCTAATGATGCATAGCTTCCTGACAGTGCAGGATTCCCTGCAACCCCGTCACACTTCCCTCCCCTGCTTCCATTCCCACGTCCCCACATTGCACCCGACTCGGTTCCCCCTACCATCGCTGTGTGCAGATGATGCACGGGTTCCTGACAGTGCAGGAGTATCTTCACTTCATGGCGTCTGTCAAGGGCCTCAGAGAGCCCCTCTCCGCGCCTGTTACTCACGTGCTGCAATCCCTTGGCATCTCCAGTAAGCCTCCGCCTCGCGCTCCTGCTCTGCTCCCTTCTGCTGTCCTATCGCTCTCCTTGGTTGTTCGTTTGGCATTTGTTGCTCTTCTGCCCACCCACTCCCCTTTCCACTCCCCCATTCCTCCGTCCATCACCTCCCTCTGTCCGTTTTGCTCTCTCCCACACTCTCCCCCACCTTCTCCCCCCAACCTATTCCCCCTCGTTCCTCTGTTTACCCCTTCTTCCCTTGGCTCCCCACTTTCCCCCCCCTTTCCCCCTTCTTTCCCCTCTTTCTCCCCGCTCTCTCCCCTCTCTCCCCCCTCTCCCCCTTCCCCCAGCGTCCGAGGCAGCGCAGCGCATAGACATGTGTAGAGCGGGGCTGCTGAGGCGAGTGGCAGTGGCGGCAGCGCTCTTGGGAGACCCTGCCGTGCTACTGCTGGACGAGCCCTCGCAAGGTACGACAGTTGAGGTGCCCCAATACGCGCATGGTTTGTGTTGTGACATCTTGTACAAGGCATGCCTCAAAAGGCGTGTGGCAGTGGCGGTAGCGCTCTTAGGAGATCCTGCTGTGCAGCTCCTGGACGAGCCCTCGCAAGGTGCATGCGTGCCAACGCGGTGCTGTGTGGCTTGGAACGGGGCATGGGGTGACATGGGGATGAGCATGAACCCTCACACGGTGCATGACAAAGTTGTACGGCGTGGGATGGGATGGGATGGGATGGGATGGGATGGAATGGGATGGGATGGGATGGGATGGGATGGGATGGAATGGGATGGGATGGGATGGGATGGCACGGGGATGTTGTGCTTTAGATTGCCTTTCAGATTGAACCTTGCTGTAGTAGCTTCCATCCTTCTCCCCACACCTCACCCGCCCCCAACCCCAAACCCACCCCCTCCGTTCCGTATATTCCTTCATCACACTCCATGCCTTTGTGCCCTGTACGCTGACCTCTCCCCCTTTCACTCCCCACTTCCCACTCCTCATCTCCCATATCCTCTTCCGCTGTGGTTGCTGTCATGCCCGTTGCGCACCAGCCATGGACATAGCGAGTCGGCGCCTGCTGTGGCGGCGCATTCTCACCGATGCACCGCACCGCGCCACCCTCATTGCCACCCACTCCGTCGAAGAGGCTGAGGCCCTCGGGTGTGTACTTCTTGCTTCTCCTCCACGTGTTAGAAGTAGTGTTTTGAGATGTCTCAAGGCGCATTCTCACCGATGCACCGCACCATGCCACCCTCATCGCCACCCACTCTGTCGAAGAGGCCGAGGCCCTTGGGTGTGTACTTCTTGCTTCTCCTCCTCGCCTCCCCTCCCTCTCCTTTCTCTCCTCTCAGTTTGTCCCTCTCACGATATACGTGCTGAATTGAACTGAAGAGGCCAAATATGTTTTGGTGGTATGCTAAAACATGTCTTCGTTTCAGATGGTTGGCATAGCATTTCCGGTTTTAGCTCAACGATCCCTTTTTCCTCTCCTCTTCTCTCTCATTGCCTGCCCCCTCCCTCCTCCTCCCCTTACCTCTCCCATAACCTCCCACTATCCCTCCCAATCTACTTGTTCTCACTCTCCTCTCCCTTCTCCCCTTTCCCCTCCCAGCTCACGTGTGGGCATTCTGGCGCGCGGCCAGCTCAAGTGCCTGAAATCCCCACATTTCGACTCAATTCAAATGCCACCTCCCACTCAACTCAAAGCCCCCTCTGTCGCCTTCCTCTCCCCTTCCCCCCCCCAGCTCACGTGTGGGCATTCTGGTGCGCGGCCAGCTCAAGTGCCTGGGGTCTCCACAGGCCCTCAAGGCGCGCTACGGCTCGGCATACACGCTCCTTCTCTCCGCCCACCCGCGCCGCCTGCCTGGCATCCGCATCTTTCTCTCCTCCATCGCCCCGGCTTACTCCGAGCACTACGACGACGACGCTGCTCCTCTGCCCGTCACCTCTGACCGCTCCGACCGCGCCCCACACGCCGCGGATCATCTGCACCCGGACGCTCCTGCGCTCATGCCTGCTGCTGCTACGGGTAGTGGTGGTGGTGGTGCTGGTGCTGGTCCCGAGGTTGGGAATCTGCTGGGAGTGGAGGAAGATGATGTGGTGTTGCAAGGGGGCCAGGAGGAGCAACATCAGAAGCAGCAGCAGCTGTTGATGGCGTCCCCGTCAGCACCTGCAGCCACTTCATCATCAGCAGCAGCAGGAGCAGCAGGAGCATCAGGTGTAAGTGCAGAGCAGCTAATTGTCGAACTCAGTGATCTATCTCGCCACAACAGCGACCCCAGACCCGTGCTCCCAACCGTGCCACCCGCCTCTCCTCCCAGCGACGCCTCAGCAACACCAGCAACGCTAGCAGCAGCCATTCCCTCCGAAGCAGCAGCGGCGGCCGCATCCGCAGCAGCAGCAGCTTCATCCGGAGTCTTCGACCCTTCAGTTTTACCTGTGACAGCAGCAGAAGCAGCAGCAGCAGCAGGAGGCTCAGGGGAAAACGCGAGCAGCAGCGGCGGCGGCAGTGGGTGTGTACAGGTGAAGTTCCTGGTACCTGTAGATGACCTGAGGGGACTGGCGCGTGTGTGGAGTGAGCTGGAGGCGCACAGGGAGCAGCTGGGCATAGAGGGATTCAGTATGAGCCAGCCCACTCTCCAACAGGTGTTCCATCGCCTCACCAGGGTTGCTCGCGATGAGGCCCCCCGCCCTGTCGTGTGAATTCTCCTCCTCTCTCACCCTGCCCTCGGGTGTTTTGAGTTGAGACGTCTCTCAAAGCACAGGGAGCAGCTGAGCATAGAGGGGTTGAGCATGGGCCAGCCTAGAGTTGCCATCGCCTCCAGCAGGTGTTCCATGATGCATCGCCTCACTAGAGTTGCCCAGGACGACGCCCCCACCCTGTCGTGTGAATGAGCCAGCCAGCCTACCCTCCAGCAGCTCTTTCCAAGTTCCATCCCTTAACCTACCCTTCCCTGTAAAATCTCCAACCCTGCTAGCCCGCCCTGTTTTGAAGAGTCTCTGCTGCTTGCGTTACGGTGAGGGAGCGGAAGAGAAAGAGGGAGGGGTGAGGGAGGGATGAGAACTCTTGGGTAGCCTACTTGTGGTGAGTTCACGTGTACCGTAATTGCTGTCTGTGTTGGAGTTGCTAAGTGGTGCGGTGGTGCAACTATATTCTGTCCACTTCTGTCATTTACTGAACCCTGTAGGTTGATTTCACCATGTAACCGAATCGTCCATATCATGCCGTTTTATCTGTTACGGTACAAGTTACAACGCATCTTATTTGACTAAGATGTCAGTTAAACGCACATTTACCGTAGCAGGAGCTCATTCCGTAACAGCACACCATATGTAACATGGTGGCAGTAAACCTTACCACAAAATAATTAGGTCGAAGGAATACCACACAATACATAATCAACACGCCTGTCGTTTCGACCAGAACTGGCGTTACATACCATGTTACACAACGGGTTACAGCAAGCGAGCAGCGTGGTTGAGCATGATCTGCACAGCAGCAGCATATGTATCATCATTGTAATGCATGCCATCCGGGGTGCACGTCTCGCCACACCCCTTACTCAGCTCCCCCAGTGGCAGCAACACGCAGGGACCCAGCTCCACCACCTGATGCGACTCCTCCCTTTCCCTCCCATTCCCTCCGCCTGCCTTTCCTCCCCTCCCATCCCCTCCTCTCCCTGCTCCACCATCCCTAGCCCCACTGCTCCCACCCCCCCCTTCCCTCTCTCCCTCGCCCTCAACCTCACTCCCCTGCTCGTCCCCCTCCTCATCCCCCTCCTCTCCCCCCTCCTCCCTCCCCCTCTCTCCTCCCTCCACACTGCCCCCCACCTTCCCATGCGCTCCCTCCACCAGAAGCCCACTCCGCCGCACCACGGCATCATACAGGTTCACCATGCGGGGCGACATCTTCTCCCTCTTCCTCTCCGTGTTCAGCCGTGACTGAATAAGCTCTGGCAGTCCCAGCCAGAAGAAGAGCGGCTGCATGACTGGTGCTCCACGAGCCACCACCGTATCCTCCTCCTCCTCCTCCTCCCCCACCTCTTCCTCCTCCCCCTCATCCTTCTCCTTCTCCTCCTTCTCCTCCTCCTCTACATCCTTTACCTCCTTCTCTTCCTCACTGTCCGTGTCCTCACTCTCCCTTACCCTCCCCTTGTGCTCTTTTCCACTGTCCCCTGCTTTTCCTTCCTCTGTTTGTTGCTCCTCTTGCTCCTCCCCTTGCTCCTTCTCTTGCTCCCCCTCTTCACTCCACAGTCCCTTTCCGTCACCCTTGACTACTCTCTCGTCCATCACCTCTCCCACTCCCCCTCCCACTCTCTCCCCCTCTCCCTCCCCCTCAAACCCGTCCGGTTTATCAACTCGCAATCCCTTCAATTCTCCTCCCTCCAACCCATCACCTCCCACCGTCCGTTCTTCCCCATTTGTAGGTCCTGTTCCCAACACCTTCCCTCCAATCACCTCCTCCTGCTCCTCCTCCTCTCCCACCCCCACACCCTCTTCCATCTCCACCATCTCAACCTCTCCCTTTCCATCTCCCCCTGTCACCCCCAATCCCTCACCTTCACGTTTCCTCTCTCCCACTCTTCCACTCGCCTCCCCAGGCCCCACCCCTTCGTTTCTGCTCTCTCCTCCTTGCTTCTCCTCATCCTCATCCCCCTCTGCATCAGATCCCGTAGCTCTCTCTTCTCCATAACCATTTTCCTCTGAAGGTCCATCCGCCAGCTCCTCTACCTCGTGCTTCCTTGCCTCCTCAGCCCCTAATCTAGTCTCCTCGCCCTCAGCACCCCCTGCGCCCTCACCTCCTCTTCTTGCATCCTCCGCAACCCCTGATGCACCCTCCTCCTGAACCCTCCGCCTTGCTCCTACCCCTTTCCGGAAATTTCCGCTCATTCTCCCTTCACCCAGCTTTCCGCCCTGACTACCCCACCTCTCCAACCCCTTTCTCCTCTTCACCCCAACACCCTCTTCTCTACCTCCCTCCTCCTCTTCCTGCTCCTGCTCCTCCTCCTCCTCCCCCTCTCCCTCCTCCACCGCCCTCTTATCCACCTCTCCACCTCCCCCACTCCCTTCCTTGGCAGCAGCTCTCCTCATTCCCTCCACCACAGCCACTGCAACTTGGTCCACACTCTCTCCTCCTGCCTTTACACTTCCCTCACCCACACCATAATCATCATCATCATCATCAGCAGCAGCAGCAGCAGCAGCAGCAGCACCAGCACCAGCAGCAGCACCACCATCACCCTCTTCAACATCATCACCAGTGATAGCCGGAGACGCAGAGCAACGGGGCGATCTGAGCAAGCGCAGCATGGTTGAGCGGAGAACAGCAAGCTCTGCTGCAAAGTGAGGTGGGTCCGTGACCCATAGCATGTGCCACAGGCCCGATCCCAGGATCACAATGTTCGGGCATGTTAGTGGGAGCGGCGGAGGGGCGGCAGCGGACGGAGGGGATGAGAGGGAGACGGGTGTGGTTGGGACAAATACGTGCTTTTGCTGGGAGTGGTGTTGTGATGATTGCTCCTCCTGCTCCTGCTCCTGCTCCTGCTCCTGCTCCTGCTCCTGCTCCTGCTCCTGCTCCTGCTCCTGCTCCTGCTCCTGCTCCTGCTTCTGCTTCTGCTTCTGCGTCTGGTGAGTCTGTTTCCGCTGCTCGTCCTGCTGTTGCTCTTGCAGCCGCTGCCTTGAGTGCTGCTGATACTGCTGTGTTCTCTCACCAGGTCCATGATCCTGCCCTTGCACCTCTTGCCCCATCCTCCCCTTTCTGGATCTGCTGCTGCTGCTATCCATATGCTGGGTCGCAGCAGCAGAATCAGCTTCTTGATAAACTTCAGCACCAGCAGGCACAGGAGCAGAAGAGACAGAACCAGAAGCAGATACAGCAGCAGCAGCACCACCAGCACCACCAGTGCCACCACCGGAAGCAGTGGCAGGCAGAGCAGCAACAGCAGCAGTGATATTGGGCGCAAAGGGCGCCCAGAAGAAATCAATCCGGATGCGGTGCGAGGGGATGAAGTGGTGAAAATTGGCGTGTTTCAGCGATACAAAGCGGTGCACGGGAGCCATGGCTGCCGGGTCATTGTGTGGCAGCAGCAGCAGCTGCAGCAGCGCTACCAGCAGTTGCCGCACCTCTGAGTCCCCAGCCACCACGATCCATGTCCCTGCCAGCTGCCTCAACGCCTCTCTGCTTGCCATCTTGTGAAATACGCACTGTCTCCCCTTACTGCTGCTGCTACTGCTGCTGATGCTGGTGCTTCTGTTGAGGGTATTCCTGTCAGTGATGTTGCTCTTACTGCCGCTGCTATCCCTGTCGTTCCACGTCCATTGCCATTCCCTCTTTACCTCCTCTCTCTCCCCGAACCCACCAACGACATCCCCCTCGTCCGCGCCTTCGCCCTCGTTACTGCTACCTGGTAACCACCTCACCTGCGGCGCATCCTCGATACAAGGCGACCTCGCTAACTGCTCGCACACCAAGCACCTCCCGTCCACTGCAATAGCGCCACTGAAATCCCCATCGTCTTCCGGCCCGTCGCCCTGCCCTCCCAAACCAGCCGCACTCAAATTGCCTTCATTATCCATCTCCTCCTCTCGCCCGCGCCCCCCCTCTTTCCTCCCCTCATTCCTCCCCTCAGTCATACCTTCCGCTTCCATGCTTCCCGTGCCCAGCGTGCCTGCAGACTCATTCAACGCGCCACTGCCGTGCTTCCACTCACCAGCAGAACCTTCCCCATACACCCCTGGCCTTTCCACCCCTGGACTCTTCGCTCTTTCCGCATACGGCCTTGGACTTTCCGCTCCTTCCCCATTTGCCCCTACCAACTGCCCTTCTTGCGCCCTGGTCTTCCCGCGCTCCCCCTGCCCCCACCGTTCCGCGGGTCCCTCTGCCAAGTGGCCGGCTTCCGCCAATGCATCCGCGTCGACATGCGCGGCGCGGGAGGACGGCACGCGGGACGCGACGGGGAGCGAGACGAAGCGAGACGCGGCGAGAGTTAAGAGGAGCGCTGCGATGAGCGTGGGGATGAACGAGGACTTGCGGATGGATAACGCGGAGCAGAAGGACGGGGGGAGGCGGAGCAAGGCGGGGGATAGCGACGAGTACGGGGTTGCGGAAGTAGCGGAACCAGAAGAGGAAATTGAAGGCGCGGAAGCGGAAGAGGAGGCAGAACCGGATGCGGAAGCGGAGGCGGAAGCGGGAGCAGTGGCGGCGGAAGGCGGAAGCTGATGGATGGGCGGAAAGACGTCCATAGGGAACGGTGTGCGCGCGGAAGTGATGCGCGGACTGTTCCGCCACCCCCACCGCCGGTCCGTATCCAGGATCGGCGCGGAGTATGAGGGTCTTAGCGCGCCATGCGCTTCCCCAGCTCGCGCGTTAGAGTGCCACTTGTTGTCGCTACCGCCGCCACTGTCGCCGCTCCTCGCACCGCTAATACTGCCGGTGATCCTGCTTTTGCAACTTCCCCCACTGCCTCGGATGCTCACGCAGCCTCCGCTTCCTCCACAGGTTCCGCTGCCTCCGCGGCCGTCGCTGCTTGCGCCACCTCCGCTACTCGTCACCGTACGTGAATCCAGCGCTCTCGCGCATCACTCCGAAGCTCACTCTTGTCCGTCGAAACGCCTGATTTCAATCGACTGTTCACAGCCACTTCACACTGAACCGTTTGTTTCGAGTCAAAATAGGGTCCGCATCAGTACGGACTAGGACGATACTAGAGCTCTCCACAATACTAGAAAATCTCGGTTGCTCTCGCTGTGCTGCGGATGCTGTGCGACGAACATGCTCGCTACACGGGAGTCGAGAGACTCGTAGAAGCAGGCCTTGCGTCGGTTCGCTCAGGTTCGGCTGGTCAATCAGCAGCAGCACACGGAAAGAAGGTCGGTGATTTTGCAAATTACAGTATCAATCAACGTGTGGTTGGTTGGTTGGAAAATGGATAGGGACACCGTACGGTACAGTACGGCTTCCAGAGCACTGAAAATGACAGCTGAGTGCTGGGCTGGGAGGAGAAGCACCAGCAGGGTCCACCCAACCCAACCCAAATTTTCCATCCCGACTCCTCCCCACCAACTGACACCACGACCACCCTCCCTTCCTTCTCCTTAACGGTTCAGAAATCAAGGCCGTTGACCTCGACCTTGTCCCATGACCCGTCTCGTCCGTCTCGAATCTCCGTTCCACCACCACCTCCGCCATGGATTTTGTCATGGACTTTTTCACCCGCGTGTTCGTGAAGCCAGATTGTCAGTTGACTTCAATAAAGACAGTTCCGTGTTCCTTACAACAAGACGAAGAGATCTATATACTTCTTGTGTCCATCAGGCGGACATTGTATCTGCTTCGAAAGTGTACACGGATTCATGTCAGTTTACGAAGTTGAAGGTTCCCTTGCTTCAGGGTCACACGCGGCTCCTTGGGAGCTTCTTATTTCATAGGGGTTTTCGCGATCTACTTTCAAGGTTAATCTTGTCTCGAGGAAGCTATCAGGCAGGGCTCAGGTTTGCAGTGTAATTTACCCTTCTATACTGATTACAAGGGTGAATTTTTGGGTCTACACTGATGTGCTGGGGTAATTTTTTGGTGAGTTAGTGTTACACTGATCTGTAAGTGTAATGATTTAGGCCACACTGATGCTCTGGGGTAATTTTTCCCTTAGTGAAGATTACCCTGAAGAGCGTACAGGGACTCCCCCCCCCCCCTCGGAAACTCTACTGATTGAGAAGAAGTTTCCTAGAACCTTCGTAACGATACACCCAATTTCGTAATGATGCACTACGACGCCAGCACACGTGAGTACTGACAACCGACACCGTGTCACTCCGTGTCTGCTTGCAACCTACCCGTTACTGTAGAGGCGATGCAACCTGATTGGTCGAAGCTGCACTCTCTGCAAGAACGTCAACTTTCTTGACTCGGAAATTTGGGACTCGAGGTTTCCGAACACACTCGAAATTTGCTGACTTGGCGAAAAATACAAGTGTTGCAGCGAAACCAGACAAGCCACTGCGCTCGACTTTTGAGTTCACATCACAACTCCCACCCACCAGCGCCCAACTTACGATAGTAATCGTGCGCGATTTGGGCCTCGAGCTTGATTGCAGCCAGCACATATTGAGCAGCCTAAAGTACAATCAGGGTTAAAAATATTCCTACACTGATGCCTCTGGGTAAAGTTTTCAAAACTTCAAGTTACACTGATCCATCGGTGTTTCCAAAAAGGGCACACTGCTCAGAAGGGTTTTGAAAATGTCTACACTGCTAATCGTGAGTAGGCAAAATCCAAACCTAAGCCCTGCTATCAGGGGCCTCCCTCGGTTTCATATCATCAGGAACATCATCACTTGCAAGACTCCTACTTAACAAGGACGACAAGGCTTCTTAGGCTCAGACTTCAGCCGTTCAACTGTTGCCCAGCTTCTTTCGCTGGTTTATCTTCGTCTCCAGATCATCATCGCCTAACCATGCCTCCTAAGCGTGTGAAGCCCGTCGATGCTCAGGGGGGGATCCCTGATGTGTGAAAATGGTAGGTAGAAGTAGGAGCCATAGCTAGGAAAGCCCTAGCTAGGCAAGAGAAAGTTTAGGCAAAGAGGATGTTCACTAGCAAGAATGAGGATACAAATAGCAAACCCTAGAAGGATTGTACTCGCTATAGAGCACCCCACTACAGGCTAGAGCATAACATTTCTGACACACCCCCATAGCCAAAGTGGGGTGTAATCAGCAGAGCAAGCAAAGCAGGAGAAGCTCAGGGTGGATCACAATGTCACCACACATTCTGAGCACAAGTGAGAGAATCAATGAACAGGAATGAAATGACTAAGTCAGAGTTGGGTACAAATACAACCCTAGAAAGCTGTACCCCATATGTGCTACCCCACTATAGCCTACAAACATGTATCAGCTATGATAATCTGACACACCCCCATAGGCAAAGTGGGGGAGAACAAGGGGTCACAAGACCAGTCAAGCAAAGCAAAGCAAAGCAAGCTCAGGGTGGATCACAAAGTCACCACACAGTCCGAGCACAAGAGCAGGGCCAGAGGCCAGTTCACATGCAGGAGTACAGACATATATATAAAACTAGACAAGCAAGAGCAGGTATATATATATGTCACAGTACAAGTGAAGTCAAGAGGAGAGCAAGTGAGGCAAGACAGGCACAAGACCCAGCTGGGTGCAAAAGCGCTGATGGTCACAAGGCGCGAGTGCCTTGGTGAACACATCAGCAGTGTTGGCCTCAGAGGCCACGTACGCAAGTCGCAACTGACCACGCTGCTGCAGCTCACGAGCAAGGAAGTAGCGGAGAGCAATGTGCTTCGTTCTGTGCTCCAAGCGCTGCTCTCGACACAAGGCCAGCATGGCCTTGTTGTCTACGTACAGCACTGGAGGAGAACGAGGTGGCTCTCCAAGGTCAGTCAGCAGGTAGGTGAGCCAGCGAAGCTCCTGTGCAGCCATGGCCCCGGCGTAGATCTCAGCCTCACAACTGGAGCCGAGAACCGAAGACGAGCAAGTAGACCGCCACGAGACAGAGCCGGAACCAAGGCTGAAGGTGTAACCCTGTGACGACCGCTGCGTAGCCTGGTCGTCAGCCCAAGAAGCGTCCGCGTGGTCGGTAAGGACCACTGGACTCCGCCCTCCAAGCACTAGCCCCATGCCCGACGTACTGCACAGGTAGCGCAATACCCTCTTCGCTGCAGCCATGTGCTCTGGTCTGTGTCTCCCAGGAGCAACATAGCGTGCAAGAATGCTCAGAGGGTATGCAAGGTCAGGTCGTGTGCAGGTCATCAGGTACATGAGGCAGCCAACAAGCTCTGCATACGGACCACTCGACTCTACGGACTCATCCGAAGGCAGAGCTGAGAGTGAGTGGCGAGTAGGCAGAGGAGTGGCCTGAGGCGAGGAGTACGTGAAGCCGAAGCGCTGAAGGACCTGCTGCACCATGTGTGACTGAGTCAAGGTAATGGTGCGGCGTGCTCTGTCCCGAGTGATCTGCAAGCCAAGGTAGCTGCGCAGTTCACCCAGGTCTGTGCACGTGTGTCTCTTCAGCAGCTCGGACTTCACGTAGGCGAGTCCAGCAGTGTCCGCTGTGGCAAAGACCAAGTCGTCGACGTACACGAGGATGTAGAACGGCGGCAGGGAAGTGTCGGTGCGAAGAAACAGCGACGGGTCAGCAGTAGAAGGAGCAAACCCAAGGGCCGCAAGCGTAGTCCTCAGTGTGTCGTGCCACTCACGCGGTGCCTGGCGGAGACCGTAGACTGGCCGTCGGAGGCTCCACTGGGTGCCAGGAGGGAAAGTCCCAGTGAAGCCAGGTGGACGGCGAAGCCAGATCTCCTCGTGCAGGCTACCCTGCAAGAACGCAGTGCTGAAGTCGAGAGAGTGAAGCTCGTAGTCGCGCTGAGCGGCTATGTGCAGCAGCACCCGAAGAGTAGTCATCTTCGGGGTGGGAGAGAAGGTCTGAAAGTAGTCAACTCCCTGCCGCTGACTGAAGCCACGAGCAACGTACCGTGCCTTGAAGACAGGTGGAGAGCCCGGCGGCCGCTTCACCCTGAAGATCCACATGCCACTGACGATGTTCGCCCCAGGAGGGGGAACCGCGTCAACGTAGGTGCCTGTGGACTTCCAGGAAGCCATCTCTGCATCCATAGCTGCCTGCCACTGAGAGGAGTAGGGACCCTCTACGGCCTCCGCGTAAGAACGCGGAGTCGGGATGTCTAGTGCATCCGGGTCTCCCTCAGGGGCAAGCAGTATAGACGCGAGATGAGGTGAAGCAGCCGCTAGACACTGTAACTCTTCCTGCCTGTCCTCTAGGACGTCCGTGCCAAGAGCACACTCACCCCCGACGGACGGAGGACAGACAGACGCAGACTCAGCAACAAGACTAGCAGCGTAGTCGAGACGACAGCGAGCAGCAAAGTCGACGAGCTCAGCGACTAGAGCAGACGCAGCAGTGGACTCAAAAGAGGGGTCAGTGACGACAGTAGCAAGCAGACGCGTGACAGTAGGACTGGCAGCACGAAGAGAGTCCGACTCAGGGTCGGCAAGCGCAGGAAGAGAGGACTCAGGAGGAGAAGGCAAAGGGGCACGCAGAGGAGCAGTGGACGGACGCAAAGACATCCGGTGCGTGCCAGGGACAGGAGGAGGACGCTGACGCGAACTGCGACCACTAGCGCGAGCAGCACGAACAGGCGACGCGGGACGAGACGCAGGCTCACGACGCTCAGCAAGACCTCCAGTAGGACCAGTGTAAGGA